GGGGGGCGGGCGGGGTGGGCGGGGTTCACATCTGTCAAACAATCGGCAGCCGTGTGCAAACCTCAGGCTGAGAAAACTGTGCATACGCCTCTTTTAGGACCATCGGTGTGAAAGAGCGAAGAGTTGGATGGCTTATCTCATAATGAGGTGCGAGGAGGTCTTCTGTCTGTCTCTTGTGTGTTTCGTTATGCCGGCGCTTCTGAAGGTGAGACGTGCAACCCAGCATCGCCATTATCCATTCACGGGCATACAGACTGTTATTCAGTTAGAAGGTAGGACGCTCACACTCACAGGTGTTCGGAAAGGTGGGCTGCTTGGATCGCGGAAGTAGAGACAACTTAAAACCATTTGTTGTAAGGCTTGATTTGAATATAGTTTAAATTTTTATATTGTTTTGAATGTGATGCAAATGCAGATTTCTATAGATGACATATTTTTTGGAGTATGTTATGTGCATTTATTTTGGTCTTTTTTTTTTTTATGGAAAAAAGCACAGCTTAACAGGCATGAGGTGATTTTAAAGAAGTGTTTTCATGTATATTCAGGTTCTTCTTTTTCCATGCAGTAATTTTCTTTTTCTATGACTCCCGTCTGTGCATTCCAAGTGATTTGCATGCGGTGCTCTGCAGAAATCGCAGGGTTTTGGGAGTCGGATCAGTTTTTCTAGTCTTTAAGTGTCGGGGAGGTGCCATCCTGAGGATGTTTTAGTGCCCTTCAAGAGTTTTATTTTGAAACCAAAATGGCTTGTTTTGAAATATATATCACTGCACTTTTTCCACCACGCTTCACAAGCTGACGAAATAAAATGTGCCAAACGACTGTAGGAGAATGTCCTTGAACCAATGAAAAGCTCACGCGATGCTCGCCGGCTATTTCCGAGACTAAAAATTGGTACGTTTTAATGGGCGAGCAGCAGTGAGTTTGAGAAAGGGTACAAAAATGTGATGAAATTCATGTGACGTGGAACAAGTGGGCCGTGGGGCAACGATCCTACGTCAATTGACGATACGCCTCAAAGCTACTGACTGGCGACGACCGGTACCGTGTTTTGAAACTGCTAGCCCGTTTCTCAAAAAAGGGTGGCACCTCCGCCAGTCCTAAATATCCATGTTTTATTCAGGGTTTTTTTTTTGTTTTATTTTAACGGTAGCTTTTCAGTCACTTCGTCAGTGTTTGCTTCATTCAATTGCTTGTGTGTCTGTTCCGTAGCGGTGAATTTTGTGTATGGGTGAACGCAGGTTTCAAAATGGAAGAGGACGATAAATAGGAAGAAAAAAAAAGAAAAACAAACTAACAAAAATCTAAGTATATATGTGTATAAGAAATGAAAACAAATGAGCTTAGGTTTATTTAAAAGACTTTACGATGTAGACACAAAAAATTGACTCGGGAAGGGATCGGGTTCGATGTGAGTTCAACTATTTGTGGTGAAGAATCAGCTCAGATCTTGCACATAAGAAGTTTAGATATTGTACCTATGAGTTACAGATTATTATTTTTGTTTGTTTAATACAGAACTCTTTTGCTCTCTTTCATATTTATTTTCTGGTCGGGGAGCTAGTCCTTCTGTGCGTTGGTTTACCTAGGGCACAGAGCTGTGGAGTATCTGGGTTTACAGTCAACCGAAACTATTTTTCATGTGCCACAAACAAGCGCAAACGCAAATACTACTGTCTGGGGTTATTACCATTAAGGTTATGATGATGATGATGATTATAATAATTATTGATAATATTATTCAATGAATGATAATTGTTATTAAAATTATTTTCTTTTGTTTTCATTTTTCAGAACAGCTAGGAACATGTGTGTTGGACTGCTTATAAAAACAGTTCAGAAATAAAAGCCCCTTTTTCGTGTTGCCATGTCTGCTGTCTCCATGCTTTAAAGCTGCTTCATTTCAGGATTTATCCTGTTTATATCAGAACGAGGACACTCGTTCGATTTAAACTAACTCTTTAGTGTGAGATTTATAAACTTAAACCTCCATTAGCCAACTTTCAGGGCATGTTAAAGCCATTTGGAGGGACTGCGGCCAAGTCTCCTCACTGACAAATGAGCTTAGGTTTATTTAAAAGACTTTACGACGTAGACACAAAAAAATTGACTCGGGAAGGGATCGGGTTCGATGTGAGTTCAACTATTTGTGGTGAAGAATCAGCTCAGATCTTGCACATAAGAAGTTTAGATATTGTACCTATGAGTTACAGATTATTATTTTTGTTTGTTTAATACAGAACTCTTTTGCTCTCTTTCATATTTATTTTCTGGTCGGGGAGCTAGTCCTTCTGTGCGTTGGTTTACCTAGGGCACAGAGCTGTGGAGTATCTGGGTTTACAGTCAACCGAAACTATTTTTCATGTGCCACAAACAAGCGCAAACGCAAATACTACTGTCTGGGGTTATTACCATTAAGGTTATGATGATGATGATGATTATAATAATTATTGATAATATTATTCAATGAATGATAATTGTTATTAAAATTATTTTCTTTTGTTTTCATTTTTCAGAACAGCTAGGAACATGTGTGTTGGACTGCTTATAAAAACAGTTCAGAAATAAAAGCCCCTTTTTCGTGTTGCCATGTCTGCTGTCTCCATGCTTTAAAGCTGCTTCATTTCAGGATTTATCCTGTTTATATCAGAACGAGGACACTCGTTCGATTTAAACTAACTCTTTAGTGTGAGATTTATAAACTTAAACCTCCATTAGCCAACTTTCAGGGCATGTTAAAGCCATTTGGAGGGACTGCGGCCAAGTCTCCTCACTGGAGCTCAGTGTGATTGAGCAGTGCATTAGTGTTCTGGAGTAAACAGTCCTCTGTTGGACATCCTTCTCTATCCTGCAGCAGTAATCAAAGCTCAAATGAATCTAAAGAGTTCTTGAGGTTTATTATCCTCGCCGTATTATAATACGTCCTTGTTTACCTCTCTCCTTGTGCCTAGATGTGAAAAGGCTAAATGGTGATTTTAACAGCACTGATTGAAACTGCACTGGCCTTGAAAGCATTTGGACACTCTAGTCACAGTGTCTAAATGTCATTAGATAAGAAAATCAAACCAAGTGGCATCTGTGCTGCTAGACCTGTTCAGTCAGTTTTCCTTAAAAGGTTTCTTTAAAGTAAATGCGCTTATGCAATTACATTAATGCATTTTTAAAGTCAACTTGAGTTAAAAACTGACCCTTTTTGTTTCATTTTCTTCATGCATTTGTAATCTTTTGTCAGTGATTCAAATTAAAATGGCATCATAATCTTTCATCAAAACGTAAAAAACTTGATCTGGTCACTTAATTTATCTGGTCTCCTGTTTTTTTTAGGATCCAGTCAATTCCCGATAAATCAGTGGTTCTCGACCAGTGAGCCAGGACCCAATGAATCAAGACAAGACAAGCATTAATGTAAGAAAGAAAAAAAAAACAGGATAAACTTGAATGTATAAGGTAGCCTGATTTTAAACGTGTGATTTCTAAAACTGAAAAAGTCAGCAAATTTAAAAAAGTGATTAAAAAATGTTTAATGTATTTTATAATCCACTAAAATCACAAACCAAGTAAAAACCCATGAAAAATTACGAGGTCTTCAAATGTTGTGAACAATGGGGGGCCTTGGAGAAAAATATTGAGAACCACTGAGACAGATCAAATCAAGTCTATTTAAAATATTTTTTTAATTGCCGAATTAAAATTGTTTTTGACTGCAGTTTTATGTAGACTTTAAATGTCAAATGTATCTTGGAGGCTAATGCATGTAAAATTAATTTTTTTATTTTTACTTATTTTTTGCAATAATACAGGAATTATTAGTTAAAAAAAATGAAAACTAGTGCCATAACACAATAGCTATGTTTACATGCATCAAAATAATCGGATTATAATCAGATTGATGGACTAAAAAGCTTTCATATATAAACACATCAGATTAAAAGGGGTGGTGTAGACCTGAAATAGTCCAATCAATAGGAAAAAATGAACCATGTAAATGCTTGAAGCTTGAATCAGATTCGAAAATACCTTGCACACATGTACAATATTGTTATACTTAAAATAGAATATAATTTTATTGTCCCTTTTTGGGAAATTTGTCTTCAAATTTAGTCTTCAAATAACACAGCCAGCAATCAACATTAAACACCCATAACACACATCACATAGTTTAACAATACAGTAATAATAAAATGATGCAACAATGCAAATATATTACAACCTACAACATAAAGAAGCCTTAAAAATCCTCATTTTGGAATTCTCTGTTTAATAATTTAACCGACTTTGGTGCTAAAGAGTTTTTGTAGCAGTTTGATTTACACCCTCTAATTCTAACACCATGTCCTAACTATACACGCAACGCGACACGCGATAAAAGGTATCTTTAACAGAGTTTTTGTCCTAACTAGCCGCGACGGCGACACGCGAAATTTCTAATTTGGAAACTGTTTCTATTTCCGCGACGTCGCAGCTGTAACAACAACATACAAACTATATGACATAATCCACATACATTATGTGGATTATGTCATAATCTAGTACATAATCTCAGGTGATTTTGTGCTTTATTCAAAGTTAAACGTCTCTAATATGAGTTTAAATATAATTTTGTGTGACCTTATAGCCATAATGAAAGCAACAATAGATAGTTTACCTCAGATCTTGAAAATAACTTAAAGTAAAGATGACCGTTAAAACTGAGGACTCACTACGAACCAGTGTTGCCAATTTAGCAATTTTGTTGCTAGATTTAGCAACTTTTCAGACTACCCTAGCAACTTTTTCTTCCAAAAGCACCTAGCAACAAATTTAGCCATTTTTAAAAATTTATTAGGCAACATTTAGCAACTTTTGATAAGTGACTCAAACGATAAAAACGATAAAAAGGCACACATTTTCCATCTAAATTACACAAAAAGAGGAAACCAAAGATGCCTAGCAGTACACAACATCACGTGAATTACAGGACATTATCCATTATCCATTGTAACCCTGTAACCCGAAAACACAAAATACAATGCGTAATTTAAAATGTAGGTAAAAAGACGTGTGAATAATAATTACGGAAAATTCCTTCATATTAATAGATTTTGCCCTATTTTTACTGACTTTTCTTAGAGTGTAGCATACGAACTACTAATACACTGCTTAAAACTATAACTGTTCAGAATGAGTAGTTTTACTAATTTACTAACTAATAAAAATAAACTTAAATTGTAATTGTTAAAAAATGTGAAAGTGTTAAATAATTCAATGTTGTATTTAAAATTAGTTATTTATATTTTAATATTATATTATGCATTTATATTATTTTATAAATGCATCTAAATTAACATTTTTTTTTTTTTAAATGTTGCTAAGATTTGATGCAGTGACACAATTTTGCATCGTGATTACGCAATGATGTCACCGCGCAATGACATCGTGTCATTTAGCAACTTTTAGCAACAAATCAACCTTCCTTTAGCAACTTCCCCTGAAAATTAGTTGGCAACACTGCTACGAACCAACGAGTGTATTCCATGACAAAGATGTTATCAGTCACTCAGTAGGCCTATATGTATATTTAATGATCTTAAAAAGCTTTAATATTTATGAATTAGATTATCAACGTATCCATTTCGTTGCAAGAGCAGTGCGCTTCCACAGAGTGATTGATTGATTCTGTCGCGTCGCGTCTAGTGTGGACACCCAAATTGCTTGTCGCTGGAATCTTGTCGTTAGGACACGGTGTAAAGCGTCTCCTCGAAGGTAACAAGTTCAAATTCTCATGAAACGTGTTTATTGTCAGTTACAGTTGTCTTGGCTTGTTTTAATGTAGAAGTCTCATACAACTTAATGTCAACATCCATTTACATCATAACATTGTGTGTATGTTTATTTCCGTCTCACGTGTGAACTCTCAGTGGATGAGACTGAATATTGGCTAAATATCTGCTAAAAAAAAGCTCTCTTGATGTTTATGTCATCAACGGTAATTACACATGCGGTAGCTCCAGTGACATTATCCACAGCGACTGGGAACTAGCATGCGTTGAAGGGTTTGAAATGCATGTAATGTACATGTAAAAGAATATGTGACTCATATCACAGTGTTCATATAACTGTTCGTTTCAGAATTGCATCCATTCCAATTGATGAAAATACCTAATGTTTTTAGCCACCTAAACTGTTTTAGCTAACGAAACAAGACAAAGAAAGACCTTTTGTGTGAAATTGGTTTAGCAGATGGTAATCAAGTCTGCTAAAGATTGAATTTATAAACTGTAGATCATGTTTCTCTATGGCGGCATTCAAAACCCGTAATATCCATTGGCTTCCAGCGATTCCTCCTAGAGATCATGACTGTGATGATACGCTTCTGTCCTCTCTCTAATTCTCTCTGACACCTCCTCCCGCAGCGAACCTCCACCCCATGCGTCTCACAGCTGAGTCTGTCAATCAAACCGCACCGGCAGCCATTAGCAAGCCTGCGGACGCTTGACTTGTGTGCTTTTTCTAGCTGTTTCCAGCACTGCTTTCCCCGGTTTACTTCGAGACGGATTTCCAGGTGTCCTCTTTTATCCTAAACGTCCAAAAGGAGTCATTCTGAAGTCCATGTGAAACTCTTAAGCAACATTGCTGCCAAAGTAATCCACCGTGTTTTGAAATCATCCACATCAGTGACGCATCCAGTCGGATCCCCAGTGTGTTAGTCGAAATAATGCCCCCCCAATTTACAGCACTCAAGTGTTTCCCAAACAGGGTAGTATGTCCCACCTCTTCTAGCCGTGGGATATTTATAGCCGAGTCTTGTGTTAACTCAGCTGCCATGCTTATCTGTGTGTGTGTGTGTGTGTCCTGCCACTCTATTTCAGATGGTAGCTTCACCCTCTCAGTGACAGTGAGACTGTGTACCTTGTTTTTGGCCTCTTCGATTTTCCGGAGTTTCACTCATACATTACTCTCATTGGATATATTCTTCCACTCCATTGAGGAACCATCACAAGGTATGCCTGTTGGGTTTTCTTATTGACACCTTAATCTGTTCTTTTGTAGATACTGTGATTTATTTATAGATCCCAGACACCCACGTCCTGAAAGGCCGGTCTAGTCTTCTGGCGTTCTCCTAATGAAATTAGGGACGTTAGGCTGTTCGTCTAGGCCCAGAAGTTGGTTGGTTTGTTCTGGTTGGGAAATTAAAGGCCTTCTGTTTGGATCGCCGGGATATTCCACGTCTAAACGCAGTGCTGACTCCAGCTGAAATCTGAGCTCTGTCTCCCAGGATCATTTTCAGCCTCTGACTAATTTGTTTTGTTGTTTGCTGTGCAATGTCGAAACGGATGGTAAGATGTTGAGGTTTGGCAGGATTTGAAATGGGAATGCAATGTCATGATCCTGCGACCTAACCTTCACACGAGTCAATGTTTGTGTGCATTTGCATTAAGATGAAGTGATTTGCAGGAAACAATTGAGCAACTGTGTATCTTACAGAGGAAGCTGTCATTTGCAAAAAAGATACAAGAGAGTTTGATATATGTACTATGATGTTTAATGATTACCATATTTAAATGGTATTGACAAGGTACTCCAAAGTTACATTCAGTTATATTGCTGTATTACCTGTCCAAAATCATGGTATTTCCATGGTACCAAGGTCAGAAATTAATTTTGGGGTAAAAAGCCCAATTATCTGATATATGTTATATTATAAATAATATGTTGATTATATATTTCATTACAAAAAAAACATGAGATATCAATTTAGATTGAGAATTTGTCAATGAACATCTGAGATATCTAACAATAAAAGATGGCAGAGTATTTTAGGTTAGAAAAAAAAACCTAAAAACAAAATCTAATTTCATGGGGACAAATATTTCATCATCATAAAAGTTATGTTTTGAAGGTAATACCATGGTATCTTTTACAACATATGTTATATATTGCAAGCTGTTAATGTTGATTTTATTTTATATTTATTTCTTGGCAGTATATTTTATATGGTTTGCAAAAAATAATATCCCTAAAATATATTTTATATCCCAAACCCTAATTGCATAGGAACAAATATTTCACTGTAATACAACTTAATTTCAGACAGCATGGCACATTTCCAAGGGGAGGGGGGGAAAGAATAAATAAATACCATGCCTAACAGAGAGATGTTAGGCATAGTTATATAGCACCTGTAAAAATAGGTGCTATATAGCACTAAAAGCGGTTCTTTGGCTTGTAATCATAGGGGAACCACTTTTAGTGCTATTTAGCACCTTTTTTACAGGTGCTATATAGCACCTTTGTCAAATGGTGCCATATAGCACTTTTTCACAACAATGGTGCACCAATCATAACTCATCCATGGCTCCCAGCATGCATTGCGACATGAATAAATTATGCAGCTGCATTGTCTTAGTATTTTCTTTTATTCTTACTATTTGCTTTTATTTTTGTTGTGACTTTTTACTGCCCTGTTTTTTGATGTTCAAAAATCATATCAAAATTATCAGATTATTTTGTCCCCATTGCTGAGGTTCACATGCTGATTCTTCATGTCTATGAGTGACAGAATTGAAACCACTTTATAACCCATAATTCTAAAAGTGGTTTATACAATTTTCTCACATTGTCACGTAGTATCGTAGAACTGCAATAATATAAAACTCATAAAAGAACTACAGATTTTGATAAAATGCAACCAG